GTTTAGGTCGGCAAGCAGCCCCTTCTCTGTAACCCACCGGCTCAGATTGCCTTGGCCAGCCTTGCGTGCCGCGCGCGAACGTTTAAGCCATCGAGACCTATCGGCTCATTCCTGGCCATTCGGATGGGGGGCACAGACATGTAGCCCCTTCCGAATGGAAACTTCGCGGGCAGGATGAAAGGCCTAAGAGAGGCGGTTCATTTGCTCCAGCATGGATGTTATGAGCCACCGTGCGGCTGGATCCTCCTGTCACCGGCCCAAGGTCATGAACAGATCCGCCCGGAACAACGATGGGCATTGCTCCCGTTTCGCACCACAAGGCCTTTCCTCCCCGGCCCCTGAGTTGAACGTGACGGTTGCAGAGCAGAGGGATTGTCCCTCATCGTGTTGCGGGGACGGGCCCTCTCCGGAGGTGGTGCGGAGGCTTTTGGGCTATTGCTACTTCGAATGTGCTTCCGCGCTTGGGATGCTTAGTTGGGCAGGGTTATGAGAGTGTTCCAGGATGTTGTCGTCCTTTTTGGGCCCTGTTGCCATACTCAAAGGACTGATATTGTCTGACAGACCTCTTTGTCCACACGATTCCCTCCCCACTGGACAAGGCTCCCCTGTACTGGAATCCCATGCCATGGCACTCTGGGCCTCACGAGGTACCAGCTTGTCCAACTGATGGGCGCGTTATTGAGCCATCATGTGTTAATTATTGGTGACCCGAGCAGCTGTAAAGGCTTACATCAGCATCTAAATTACATCAGATAGAAGTATAGAAAAGAATTGAAATGGCAGATCCTTTTACCCTGCCCTGAATCAACTGAGCATCGACATAGCCTGACAATCCATGTCAGTTTGGGGTGGGGGGTGGGGGGTGGGGGGGGGCACACAGCAGTCATTGAGAAGTTAGACTTGTTCCCAGCCAAACCGCTTTGAAATCGCCAGAACACCCTACCAAAATGTCATACAGATTTCTGATGCCGGAAGCACACAGAGGCAATCGTTGTTCTTCATGTTGAAGCCGTACATCAGATTTCAGGGAAAGAAAAGAATAGTTGCAGTTCACAATGAACCCAATTCAGGCAAAAGCGAGGTACCTAAAAGCGATGTGCATGGACACAATCCTTTGCTTATCCATTACAAAGGTTAAAAATATTTGGCTCGCATGCTGCTACAAGCCCAATTTGTTGAGGCGCATATGCATGATTTTTGAAGCAGCACTCAACAGAGTCCAGAAATGCGATTGTAGTCGTGCACATGATGCGGTGATGTGTGTGCCAGTTCGCCACTCTGGCGACCACTGAAATCTTGGCTCATTAATGTCCTGACAAAGCGTTGAGCAGTTGCATATGAGATGATGCGCTTGGATAGAGGATGACAATTTCGTACGCAGCAATTCTGAACAACCTCAATAAGTTCTGTTGTACGCCATGCCGCGGATTGTTTGTATTGGCTCATTGTGTCAATTCTGCGTTCCATGCTTGGATTGAGAGGAAAGCATGATACCATCTTGCTGAGCTGGAACATTGCAACGAAGCAATTGTTTCACAGATTAGTGGCTGATTCCATATGTTCTTGTGAAGCCATGGAAGCCATTGAGATGTGCCTTTGCAACTAACAACGTATAGGCATGTTGGGGCCATCCCCCGATCACAGTCTATTTTTCAGAGCATCTACAACTGTTGAAAGTCGGCACACCCAATCATCCACGTACAAGAGCGGCTAGAGCGTTTTAGCCACCCATATGCACATCATCGCGTGAGTCCAATAATTGTATTGCCAACTCGTTCCACTGCATCTGTGGCAGATACGAAGACAGCCCAAATGTCAAACAGGTGGATGTCCGCCCGTGCTGAGCAGGCATTGAACCACGACAAGATCATTTATCGTGGCTTGATGTCAACATGTTAATGGGTTTCATGTCTAACCCACGATTTTCTGCATGGGGGATACTGATAGGCTAAAACGGAGGCCTGGACGCAGCCAAGAAGCTGAATTGTGGTCTGGCCAAATCTCACACCGGGAATCGCATATAAAACATGCATTTAGATCTGGAAGAGCGGACCATACTTGTCTGGGACACTCATATGGTCACTAGGCTGCTGTTTGTTGGAAACAATGAAGTTTGGGTGAGTCGCCACATGCCAAGCCCTACCGTTATGTAAGCATTTGATCAAGTGCAGCACTGGCAAGCGTCCTCCATTGAAATTGGCTGGGATGTGGATGGGCACTTTCGCTGTATGCAAACAAGCTGTGACTAGCCCAGTACGTGTGCTGTGTCCTCAGGTAACCTGACGCAAAATCTATCCCTGATATCAAGGCGATCGTCTCTGCAAAGGTTCTCCTCTAGGCTACCATCCCACTCAAACCCGCCAAGTGATCAACCTTCACTCATGTTTGATGGATCCGAGCTTTACCAAAAGGTGAGCGCAGAGAAGTTTTGCTTCGTTGAACATGTGGAATGTGGGGTGGTTGCTTATGAAAACTTGCACCCTGTTCAACAAGGGTCAATTCCACAGCAGACAATCATCTGCTGCATGTGACCACTGAGTGGCAGCCATCAGGAAACGTTATGCATTCCTCACTACTGCAGATGGGCTTATCCCAGCACGGGATATCCACATTTTCTCTTAACCTTGTGCCCATTGACAACGAGTAGGTAACCCCATCAGGTTTTCTTTTGTTATGAGCTTATGCTCTCTGCAACATCCAAAAACAGCATTCAATAAAGGTTGATGACTCTCGAAAAATGTGCTATGCAGGCCCAACGTGCACAAGGCTCTGAAAGATCCTACAATTACCAACGAAATGCACATCTGCCAAGTTCTGGCTCACAATAGAGGCGATCAGACAATGGCACGATCAAGACATGATAGAGGTGCCCAAAGACATCAGCATGTGCACAAAGTGTCAACCAAAGCTGGACTACCAGGCTGACAGGCAGCTCCAGCTCATAAATAAACAAGATATCATCACCAAATGAATGAAGCTGACGGAAGATAACGATCAGCTGATGGCTCTGCAGTTTCGAGGAATGAAGGCCACTGGCAACTGTTGCAAACAGCCCTTGAGATTTGGCTGCACACCGCCCATCGGTGGCAGTTGTTGGATAACTAGCGTATAATTGTACGCATTTTTCTTGCAGGTATTGCAAACAGATTGCGATACAGGGCACAAGGGCTTCAATCAGGAATTGGGTATGTGGCCAAGGACTCAAAAACAGTCACCTTGATCGACACAACACTGCGTAATCTGATTGGCTCAATACACCCAACAGGGAATGTTCAGCAATTCAAAAGGACTGATTGTGCTGTCCCAAGAAGGGCACTCCAGGCATTTCTGGGTATCCAAGATAAGGGATCCGAGGTATTCCCTCCAATTCTACCATACGCAGTGGCCTACTAGCACACAGGTCACAAAGACAGTGACATTGTCGTAATGGGGAATGGGCAGGCTCTCCACCAACGTTGCTGCTGTCACGACTGCCACTGAGCGCGGAAAGATATCTCCCCAAAGAGACAGACAAAGGTGGCCCGAGCTGCATAAGAACATCGCGAAAATCCACACCGCCATCAGAGATATCATCTCACAAGCGGCCGAGCCAGCCCAGGACTTGTTGCCGTTCCAGGGCAGGGGGTTCGATTCCCCATATCGCCTTCCGACAATGTCCGCCACCCCATCACCGAAGCAAAGCGTAATGATGGCCACAACACCGATCGGCGAAGTCAGCCAATACACCCCTACACCTGCACCGACAACGAGTCCGTACAACACAGGACCAGATAAAAGCTCAGTCCGTTTGCCGCTTCTGGAAACCGTGGCCACCAAGGAAGCGTTGCCTAGAACTCCCATTCCCACCAAAGCAAAATATGCCGCCAAGATCCAACTTATGGATGCCACTAAAGGGGGCGACCAGCGCGAATCAGGAAATACGGTGCAGCAGATCAAGAAGGTTGGCCCCGTGGCGATATGCATGACTTTGCGTGCGTGATGGGTGGACAGAACCCCGGCCTTCTTCAGGACAACCACGACCCCCAAGACGACAACGGAGAGGGAAAAGACTCCGACATACGCCGCAAGCAGTGGCAGCGACATTAGGGGGCGTTGAGCGGTGTCCCAATCCACTCCCGCTGTCTTCGACGTGCCCTCTTTTCACTGCCTTGGAAGGTCCCCAGCAATTGGCTGCGTGGCAAATGCTGCAGTCCCCTTGTTGACAGAACACGTTCCCCCGGGAAAAACTACCGCCCATGGTTCATTGCCAGCTAATGCAATGCTGTCTAGGTGTCCCGCTGCATTTGGCATTTCGCCAAATCGTCTGGGAAGTTGCTCCCATCCAGCAGCAACCATGTACACAAACACAAACACGTGAGTTGACGGGCCCGTTTTTGGGTGCAAGGACGGCAAACCAGAAACAAAACGAAGCCCACCTGTCGGCTGCCCTGTTCTGAGGCGCAGTATCTGGGCGACGGCAGTGCTGGCCTACTGCCTTTGCTTGGGCTCAATTCCCTGTTTCCTCTGTTTGTTCCAGCGTCGATGAGCTGCATGGGAAGCCAATCTTCTGCGTGGCGTTCAATTTCTGCGATCCAAACCACCAAGATGTGTTTGCTTCCGCTGGAAGCAACAGGGTGAGCAGAGAAGTGGCGAGGGGGGAATCACTGTCTCTTGCATGTCGTCTGGATCCAAGTTTAGGTGGAGTTGTGCTGATAGGAGACGGTCCTGGAACCCTATTGGAGCTCTGACCAGACTGTGGGGTGCTGTGGAAGGTAACCAGAATGCTGATGCCAGGGTCAATTGTCTGTGATGATAAACTCCTTGTGACATGTTTCAGTGGCACACAAATCAGATCGGTGCTTGTAATAGCCCGGGGTCCCATGCCTTCGATGTGCACTTGTGCAAGTGCTCATCACAGACAGCATGAAGTCATGTCAGCTTGTTGTTCAACTTCAGTTCTGACTTCTGATTGTGGTTGATAATTGCAGGCAACAGTCTACCGCTGCAAGCCAAAGGGAGAGATGGAAATTGTGCAAGTGTATGTTGATGAAGATGTAAGTCTCAATGCATTGAGGAGTTAGAGAATCTGAGGGATAACTATTCTGATCATGGCATCAGACAGTCGCTGTGGTCTATGAACACAATTCCGTGTTTTAGGGCTTAGAGCTAGATCGTTGTGTCTATATTGTTCACTTCCTTGTCAATGAACAGGAGGCTGGTGCAACAGGTGGCAGGTCGGGTAGCCCTCATTTCACACCATTCATGGACTACAGTGGTTTCTGGTGATTCCAGGGTGGAAATCGAAATGCTATCAATAAGTCACTTTTACCACGAAGTTGTCGCATCGAAAGCCACTCCACATGTGCGGCTATTTGTTGCAGGTGATGGGTGCACTGATGCTTGCATTTTTTTGAATGATGCCCTATGCTGATCTGTTCGTCATATTCGCTGATGATTATGACCAGGCAGTTGTTTTTGGCTTTGATGCCATGCTCAATAACTTTATGCACAATTGCCAGGAGGAAGAAGAGTTCTACGCATGCAAGTGGTCCATAAATGAGAGCATTGGTTCTCCATTGCTGCTTTTGGCTGGAAAGAAAGGTGTTCTGAGGATACTCGACTGCAAAGAAGAGAAGCTGGTAGAGGTGAGTGCTATACACATCCAGATGTCCAACAACAGCGTGGGCTTGGAAGGTTTCTGAATCTGCCTCTGATTTTTGTGACACTGCAGACGATGACGGCCCATGGTCACTGCATTAATGACATCGCTGTCTTCCCCTCACGGCCACATCTGGCGTTAACAGCAAGCAAGGTAGGAAAAGTCAGTTTTTTTTGTTTGGTGTCTGCATAGCTCCCAGCTCTGCTTTCAGCACATGTGTTCATTAATTACCAACTTTCATCACATCGAAGGCTGAATCGGGCAATGTGACAGAGCAAAGGGCTATAAAATAAAGGACTTGGGGGAGTTCCAACAGCTGGCTTGTACAACTGATTTGAGGTCTACTGATAGAGCTGGAATGTTCTCTGTGGGCAGGACGAATCGCTCCGTCTTTGGAACATCGCCACCAAGACCTGTGTCCTTATTGTGGCGGGTGAAGGAGGCCATACAGCTGAAGTCTTGGCAGCAGTAAGCAGTTACTTGCAAGGTCATGGTTTGATTTTGTACCTGAGTCTTATTCCTTTGGCTGGTTGTGCACTATGTGTGATAAAGGAAACTGTTATAAATCGAGGCATGCCGATCAATATCAGTCAATCGATTAGATAGATCAGTGCAATAATTCTTGATGGAGATCAATATTTTTTGCACAAATCAATATTTTGATGCAATCGTTACACTGAAACAAATGAATCAATGCAAGTAGTGTGTGACTGCGATTCTGATGTGCATGACAGGACTGTCATTTGAATGGGGAGCAGTTTCTATCGTGTGGAATGGACAATTGTGTGAAGATATGGTCTTTAAAAGGTGAGGAGTCATTTGTTGGTTGGGTGTATATCACACTGAGTTTTCCTGCTGGCATCTCCCTGGACATGCATGCAGATCCCACTGCTGCTTCTGCAACCTTTTGTACTGCTGGGCGTGAAGTATTTGCTTGCTCATCAAGTGCTGCAGCTCACAGCACTTGCTTGTTGCCGTTTTGTGGCTTGCAGCATATGAAGATGCCATCCAAAAGTCAACGTCTTGGAGCCGGAAGAACCAGAATTTCCCCACCAAATACAGCTACTACCCCATGTTCTCATCCACCTGGATCCATGGTAACTATGTGGACTGTGTGAGATGGTATGGGGACTTGATCCTGTCCAAGAGTGTGGACAACCGTATAGTGCTCTGGAAACCGGAAGAGTTGCCAGAGAATGGATGGGAAACATCCTGCAAGTTCGTAATTCTCATGGTGAGTACTGTATCATGCCAGTGTTAAGTGGTCATAGTTAATGCTGCGAAACAGAAGTTTCGCATTGTATCAAGATTGCAACAACTTTGCAACTCTGATTCTGCAGCTGACACAATTGCACCAGATATCCTTTGCGTTTGTCACAATCTATTACTATAGCTCTGCCAAAATGGTGTACCATCGGTATGTAATACAGTACAGTGCACTGTAGGTATCCTTTTCTGCCAATTGATGGTGTTGTGTGCAGAATATTATGGTACCTCTAGACATCTTAGCATAGAAATTTGCCTGGTATTCACGCCCTGCTCCTTGCAATACCAGTTTGCTATGTATGTGACAGCAGGAACAGCCATATGCACTGTCCATTGTTCCTGAACCCAGTGCCATAGTGATGGCTTGGTTGGCAAGTACACAAAACTTCTTTCGATCTTGACATCTTCCTGATCGTAGTGCAGACCAGAGCATGTTGGTTGGTTCACAACATATTGAGGGTATGTCGAGACATTTTGGTGAGCGATGTTGCAGTATCCTTCTCAAATATTCAACATCTGCTCCCTCGATGTAGTATGTGTAAAGCATTCACTGCTGCCTCTTACCATGAAATGTGTCGGAATAAAAGGAATGAAGAAGGGCAGTACTGCGTGACTTGGATGCCACCATTTTGGCTGCAATCCTGTACCCAACTTGCCTCTACTTTGTGCAACATATGGCATTTCATGTTCTGTCTAAAGTTCATAGGTGCGATCTTGGCAATGCTGCTTCTTTTGGAGAGAGTTCAATGCTTCCTGGCTATCTTTGTTTTGTAGCTAGAAACAATCAAATTTTGCTTATGCTAATCAGAATAAAGCTAGCAGCAAAACGACCAACAACCAGGCTAATTACGAAATGTGTTCAAATGTGCTTGAATTTGTGGCACTCGTGGCTTGTGTGAGCCAGGATCCACCTCACACCCACATTTTGTTGCATCAGGAGTTCCACCTGCAGGCAGCAGACATATGGTTCATCCGGTTTTCGTTGGATTTCAAATACAAGGTGCTTGCATGCGGAAACCGTGCAGGGAAAATCTACACTTGGGACATGGAGGCAGCGCCCGAGCAACTACAATTGAAGCTTGTCCACAAAGATTGCAAAAGTGTGGTATGTGCTATTGTTCCTGTGATACAACCAGAAGCGTTTTTGATTGTAAGTCGTTCTGACACCTGCAATTGACAGCAATGTGCTGTCTTCAAGCGGAATACGTCCTGAGTTCCTGAAATTCTGATTGTCAAGTGTCAGGCTTGTGTTCGCTGATTGTGGGCTGTCAAGTCAACTTTTGTTGGTGTACCGTGAAGCAAACTTACGGACGCACCTGTTGCTGCACTGGCTTGCAGTGTCATTGTTGGCAACGTGGCACTGCTGCTGCTTGTTCATGGCATGGATGCGCCGTTGATTCAACCCGTGATGCCCTCTTCAGTGTGCTTCTTCTCACAGAACGAATGTCGTGGCTGTGTACTGCAGGTGCGCCAGACCGCAGTATCATTCGATGGTTCTGTCATTGTGGCATCCTGTGAAGATGGCACAATATGGAGGTGGGATAAAGAACCAAGCAAAATGCGAGGGTAGTTCTTTGGGACCAGGGAGCTAAGGTGGCGGGAAAGGACTACTTTGTCGACATTATGCGAAGGATCATTTTTGTCGGGAATGTGCACAAAACTTTGAGCGTGCGCCCCTTGTTCAACTGTGTTGTTAGAGTGTCAGGACCGGTTGAGCATTGATAGTATTGTGCCATCGATATTGCGCTCAGTTGATCCAGGGGGCCGTTTAGCTTTGGTGCTGGGGTTTCAAATTCTGTTTGTCATTCGTGGAAATGCCGCCACAAAAGACAGATTGGAAGCCGTGCAGCGGAACTGGTGCACAAACACTGAACAACAGTTGAATGATATAGGGTCGAACGAGAAGCATGAAGCCATTGTATGAGCAGCCAGGGTGTGCATGCGATTTTGTTCCATCGTTCACAGAAATTGCTATCCTTCGAGCACATTTTACCAAGACATGCAAGCTAGGGAGGCGTGCTGTGACAGTTATGCTTCAAGTACACATGCTGTAGGATGCCGCCATGTTTCTATCCTATGTGCACAGGAGAAGCCCCCACCGCTGATGAGCGCAGCCTCAATAGGCCTGCTTGGCTGAATTGGCTGCCACCTTGGTTAAGTGCCATGTGACTTGTGTCAAGTGACTTGTAACTTGAGTATGTGACACGAGCCATTGCGACCACACAGCCACGGGTGGCACTTGAGCAAGTCACCTGGCACAATTCTGGACATGGACTTTGTTCATGACTGCCATTGAGGCTAGTGTTAAACTTGCCAGGTCAGCGGAGCGTGGATGACCTGGCTAAGGTGCCGGAACAGATTGGACACAAAAGTACACCCGAAGTGAACATGTGCAATATTGTAATGAGCAATAGTACGTGATAAACTGCGAAATGGCCCACAACGAAAGCCTGAGTTCACCAATAGAATCAGGTCAGAATGGACTATAAAAGGGCTGGTTGGATGGGTGTGTCAAATCGCTTTCATTTTGGCCTGTTCGATGTGCCTGCAAAATGACAGGTTTCACAAGTCCTCTTTGCATTTAAAGGCCATCAAAGAAAAGTGCAAAAACGGGTTAACCGCACAGAAGAATAGTTGAGGAAAGTAAGAAAACAAAAAAAAAAGAAAAAACAGCGCTGTACCCAAAATGTAGGGGAAACGTTGCCCATTTTTTTCTAAATTACAGCTAGTAGGTTAGGGATACGATGAGAGAGTCGGGAGGCTTGATGTAGCGCGCCATGCACATGCTATGCCGTCCTGCTGCTCGCCTGTGCGACCTGCAGCCCTCCAGCGCTTCGGGTGACCTCCTACACCATGACTATCCGGACCATCCCCCTTTGCTAGTGGCGAAGCATGCTGTCAGAATTCATAGAGCCTGCCAACGTGAAGATAACTCGCTGGGAGATTGTTCGACCCCTCCCAATCGTGACTCGCTAAGAGGTGAAGTTCATCATCCAGCGAGTAAGAACGCAAGAGGAGGAGGGAGTGCCCTTTTCGCTGGTGGAGCCCTTCGATTTGGGCATTTGGAGGGACGAGAGGGACCTTCTCCAAAGGCGGGAGTTAGGCGTTGATGTCAAGGTGCAGGAGGGCGGTGGAGAGGTGGCTGTGGACCAGGAAATCCTAGAGAACACAAGTGGGCAGCTGGACTTCGCGAGGGGTATTGTTGCTGCAAGGAAGGAGGACTGGCTGCCCACCAGCTCCATGAAGTTCAGAGAAGTTTTCCGACCTTTAGGCGAATGGATTCGGCAGCATGGGGCACAAGCGGTGGAGTTCGGAATCATCTAGATGACCTCCATCGAAAACTTGTTGGAAGCGAAGGTATGGTTCAGGATGCAACGCCAACTCGGGCGGCGATGGGAGCAGGAGTGTAGGGGTGAAGACGGTAGCTTGAGAAATCCAGCGCAAGTTTGGGATTCGCTGTATGAAAGGCAACGTGATTCAGTGCTATTTTACAGCCCAGTTTCATGCCCTGAGATATGCGAATTCGCAATCCAAATGGACTGATTTGGGGCGCATCTCGTGCTCTCTGAATTCGGGTTGCGAAGGTGTGCATGGCTGGTCGAAGAACTGGGCGAGTTTTGCTTTGAGACGCTGGCTCTTTTGGAGTTTCTGGGGGGAATTTTGGTTTGGTTTCGAAGGGAGTTTCCGAACGGTTTTGGTTGGAACAATTCTGAGAGCGGGAGGGCGTGTTGCTACCCCCGCTGGCTATTTAAAGGGGTTGCCCACGCCAGGGGGCAGACCAATCCCCTGAACTGGAAGTCCTAGCGGCTGTAATGATCAGACTTTGCAATTTATCGCTTTCAGTGCCCTGCTAGTCGGTCTGGCATGCTAAGTGGTTACAATTGGCCCTCTCGTGTGGCGGATCCTTGCATCTGGACGCCCGCATCGCTGACGGTCAGCAGGATCGACCACCGATTGGATTCGGTGCCACTGCAGGTGATTGGGCGGGCACAGCGATGACTGATTGTTGTGCAGAGGGAGGTCTCAGGCTGGTGTGTGAGTTGGCGCCCCGGGATTCGTTTGGGGTGATGCGCTGTGAGTCATGGCATAGCACTATGGCAAATCTGGCCATGGTGTGCATTGGATCCTTGCGGGCGAGTGCCAATCATGATGGGGTGCCACGTGGCCCATGGTGTGGAGGTGACAACTTGCATGTCGGTCACGGGTAGAGCACACGCGTGCGGATTTGTTCCATCATTAAGAGTGACGTGTGTCGGTGGGGTTCGTGACAGGAAGCAGCTGATGGCAAGCGTGACACATACGAGGTCTGGGCCAGAAGTCATGTAACCACGGGGGAGGCGGATTGGTCGGGGCCGGCGTGCCTTAATGTGCATGACCGATCGTACCGGCGCCCCACGCAACCGCTACTGCCTTACGTGAGGTGCGGGCAGTGGGAATCACCGAGGGGGGTGGGTGATCGGCACCGTATTGCTGCCACAATGTACTATTGTGGGGTACAATGGTGAATGCAACGCCCCCTTAAGTACTGGAACACAGCTAAGGGGGTGCAAGAATTCTTTGAATACACTGCTGGTGCAGTGGGCGAGCGCGGGGCATACTACCTGCTACCCTTAGTATTGAAGGGAAGTAATTTGTATTCAATTGAAGTGGAAGGTATCTAAGGAAGCTGTGGTGAAGCTTCCCTGGCATCTTTAAGCATCAAGCTCGTTTTACTACCATTTTTGCGAGCATGGTGCGACAGGCTAGTTTGTAGAGGATTTCACAGCCATGTGCAACTCGCACTGAGATATAATCCCTTAAAATACTCATTCTTTGTTCATGATTTTTCGATTTAAATGCCTATCTATCGATTGCTATCACCTTAATTACAAATGGGGTGGGAAGGGGATATAAAAGGGATGGAATAGTACTAATAGACTACTTATTAGGGCAAAACGTTATGACAAATCTTTGTCTTGATGAGGTAAAGAATAACATACCCATTGTCGAGTTAACCCAACACTCTCGCCCTCGCACACAATCGCTCCCATGCACGGGAAGCAAGGCCATAATCAAACGCATTATAGGATGAGCGCAATAGTCTATATACCAATCACTAGTCACTGCAATAAAATTCACTACCCAATTTGTAAGGGTAAAACGTAAAATTTATGTGCAAAGTAAATGTTGCCCCATGTTGGTCAAACACGCTCAGCACAAGAGGGAATGGTTCTTGGGGCCCAAACAGAGCGGGATCAAAGGGATAAGGGTCGGCAGGCCTTGGGGACCAACGGCTCGGTGAACGGGAGAGTAAGGGACGGACGGATTTGAATTGAAACCTGGCGGGTATGCCAGAGTTAGGATGACTCATCCTATTTCTGGCATGACCCTTGGGATACCTTGGGAAGGCGGGTATAAAAGGCAAAGGAGTTGTTCAAACGTGGAGAGAATTCGTCAGCATTGCAGAGGGGCAATTTGGAGTAGCCAACGACCGCCAAAAGGCCAGGGACGAGTTGGCAGGGCTGGTCCAACGAACAAGTGTAGAAGACTATACGAGGAAGTTCATAGATCTCAAACCCTGTATAAAAGGCATCAGCGAAGATGAGTGTCTAGATAGATACAAACGAGGACTGAAGGCAGACGTACATTTGGATGTTGAGAGGGCCAACCCCAAAGATCTACAACAAGCAATGACGCACGTGCTCAAGGCTGACGACATCCTATTCCGGGTACACGAGGCGTCAAGAAGCCAGGCCCTAGAACTGACCCCATGGCAACTTCCTCGACCGGTACGACAAGCTGGACCAACTCCAATGGAAGTGAACAACCTTTGGAGCGAGCGACCTCAAAGAGTGCAATGCCATCGCTGCAAGGGCTGTGGGCATATTGCAAAAGATTGCACAACAAAACCAAGGCCAAGAGAGCATGTCCCGCCCCCTCAGAACGTCAAGCAGCAAAACGTGACCAACATCGAGGAACACGGTGACCGATATGAAGATAAGGACTTGGAGTACTATGGCAACACATGGGAACCACTTATGGCAACCGAGCGTCTCCCTTGCTACCTCGGATCGCTGGGAGGCCGAACCGTATGAGCATTAGTAGACTCCGGTGCTACGGAAAACTTTGTGGCCATGTGTTGTGTAAGCTACTAGGGGTTAGCTAGTTTACTCAACTTATATATTGGGAAATGATAATGAACACAAGATTGTACCTAGATGGGACAAAAGAGGCTATTAGCTTTCCATAGGTCTTTGAATCATCCCAAACGGGTTAGCGGTAGAGGAGTTATAGCTTACATAAATTGTAGTACTTAAGGCTGGGCCCCTACCGTACTCGGGGATGAGATACTATCGATACGGGTACATTCGATATACGTTCTGTCGATTGTGTACTGCTGCGTGTGGGGGTCATGTGACCGACCCTGCACGACAGCCTGTAATTCCATTCGTGCCCACTCTCGCCTCCCAGCGGCTGTACCCGTAGGCCGCAAGGTGCTGCGTGCACCCACTGCGCGTATGGCCGCCCCGCACCCGGTCAATCCGCAAGCCTGGGCCCACACTATGCATCTGAACAAGACGAGCGCCCCGC